ACACGTTAAATTGACACAAAGTAACCTTATTTTGTCTATAACTCAACATTTAATTGCGAAATGACCTTTGATTGAATTATCTCCTTGAAGATTTCAATCCATCACCTCCCCTTTGGCCGCGTCTTTTGTTTTCCGAGAGGATCCTTTATTCTGCAAAGTACTTGGAGGCAAATATTGTGAGTGAAAAGCCCACCAGGTCCAATTAAACATAATTGCCGACCTACCAACCCCTGCCCTTAAGCGTTCCACCCCACACCCCTCAAAAAGCTGAATAAAAAAGAAAGTTTGTGAAAGAAGGAGGACAAAGAACAAAAAAAGAAGGCGAATAAAATGATGAGGTCCTGGAGTGAAGGCTGCGATTACGCACTGCCCGTTGTCCTTAGTCCTTTGGTCCAGTATATACAGTCCGAAAGGACCTCCTTTTTGGGGGTGGCGCTGGGAAGGGTTGGTCCTGGTCCCTGGTCCCGGGTCCGGCAAACTGGGTAAACGAAAATTGGCATTTATATAAATTCAAAATGCAAAGTGAGACGCAAAAAAAGAAAGCATAATAAGAAAGAAAGTTGGAAAAAGACCAAAAGGGTGGCTGCGTGTCCTTTGTACATACACTTTGATATATATATGTATCTATGCGTATATAAGGTAAAAATGAGTGTCAAAAGGACGCGAATAAAAAGAGATTGGGAAGCCATTAAGATAATCAATCTCATTAATAGCTAAGAAATGCCATCAAAATGAAATGAGAAAAATGTCTTGAGATAAATCTTGCCTAAATAGGGAGTTATTATAGAGATTTTTTTATAAAAAAGATTATTTTTTAATTGCCAGGATGGAAAGAAAACTAAAAAACTTACATTAGTGACTTAAACATACTACATGTCTGAGAGATTATTTTTTAAGTATCATGTTATCAAACACTTCAGCCAAAAACTAATTAGTTTTCCACTTTAAAACGGGTAAGGTTATTTGAAGGCTAAAAATAAGATTCTTCTTATATATGTAAGAAGAGATTCCCAAGGAATTTCCAAACGTATCTTTTTAATAGAATAACAAAGCATATTTTCTATAGACTTTTATTAAAATTTTTGTTTGAATTTCCAAAAAAGAAATACGTTTTAAAATATTTTTCATTGAAGGGTATCTTTTCCAGATGATTTTTCCAAATTTTCAATTAAACTAGCATTTATAATAAACTTTGTAATGTATGCCTCGTGCATGCATGCATTTATTTAAAATATTTTCCAATTGCCATTACTCAATATCTCTTAGTTTTAAATGTACGAGGGCAGTATGGTTGTCGGGTCCGGCAGCAGCACGGCGTTTAATGTTTATGTTTATGTTTAGTGTAATGTTTAGTGTAATGATTAGTGTTATGTTTATTTATTAGGCTTACAAAAGCTTTGTTGGTCGCAAGCCGACTCTCTCTCGGCGGCTCGACTCAACGGGCTTTCTATAGAGAGTTTTAGCTCGACAATGTCTAGGTCGGGCCGCCCTCTCCATTATCGAGAGGTTTAGCTTCGCAGTGACCAGTCGGGCCGCCCTCTCTGTATATTACTTGAGTCCCTGCATGCACCATAGGCTGGTCTATCTGCGGATCATCCGGCTTCATCTGCATGCAGGAATAAACATTTATAACGTTCAAAATTAATTCAATTCTGCGTTTTATTTACGGCATTGAAAACACTCAATGAACAAACAATGGCGTATCATTAAATATTTCATATGGATAAAGTTAATAAAATGATAAAAAAATAAAATGACATCAGATAATCTTTCGAAACATATTTCTTTCATAAATATATACATTTTTAGAAAACAATGGCCTAAATAACGAACCAAAGAAGGAAGCACTTTCAAACCCCACACCACCAAACATTTTAATAATCCTACAATTCCCAAAAAACACAACTTTATACCACCGTATATAACTCTATTCTATCTTAGCCGATTATATAAATAAATACTTATAGGAAATCCTAAAAATATTAAGTACAATTCGAGCTGAAGGCCCAAGTTGCTATTGCTCAACATTATTGCTAGCCCATAATTTTAATTATCTGTTAGCCCTTTATAAATAAATAAATAAACGAACCAAAGAAGTCCTACAATAGAGAAATTGTTTCTTATAAAGGGAACTTCACAGGTAATTAACCTGAATCTTCCCAGCATGTTTATCTCTTAAAGATGATGCTGAAGATTCATTTATGCAAATGTAAACACATTGCAAGTTTTCCTAATTATTTTTAATATTTTTTTAATGTAAGCATTTTGGTTATTTGTCTCGAATACTTTCTGTTTTTATTCTACTCCCCTATAACATATATTACGTTTTAACAAAATTTTCTTAACTTTCTCAAGAGTTTTTCAAAACTCTCTATTTTGAGGTTCAACTTGTAGTTTAATGTTTAAAGAAAAATATTTCCCTAAAAAGTATAATTTTTATACCCTTGCAGAGGGTATTATAATTCTGTATTAAAATTGACCCAACTTTCTATTTTTAAAGGTAGAAATATAGAAGTTTGAACATTGTATAGATTCTGTTTATTGTCACTTGATTTGACCTACCAAAATTCCGAAAAATTGGCCTATATCTATCTATATCTATAGATATCTATCGATCTATATCCTATAGCTGCCTTATAACGGAACGATTGGAAATGGTGTTTGGTAAAAATACCAACTTTAGTATTTTTGCAGATATGTAGATGCTTGGGACTATTTTTAAATTATTGGTTAGTTTTATGAATTGGTTGGTTTTATGATAAAACTCTCATAACGAGATATATACGATCATAATTGCTGGGCTCATAATTGCGGCTCCGTTCAAAGTTAGCTTTCCTTTCTTGTTTTTAATAAAACTACTACTTCCCTCGAAGAGCATTCCTCGCTCCCCACATGTTCCACTAGTGCCACCCCTTTACTTGTTCCATTTGCAAAAAAAGAAAGTATAGAAGTACAGTATAGGAAAAGGACCTCGTGTCCTGCGTCCTGCCGCCTTCTAGGCTTTTATTTTTTTATTTACTCGCCTTGGAGCGTGCACTTTATGTCCGAAGAAGGAAAATTTTCCTTCTACTTCTTCTGCTCTTTTTTTCACTCAACATTCGCAGTTTTTTCCTTTCAGGGTCCTTTCTTCGTCCTTTCTTGGGCTTTTTCGGGTGTTTAAATTAGAACTTTGTTCGTGCTTTGAATTTTTAAGTTATAAACTCAAGGGGGTATGGCCAGCCACCCTTCACTTTCGTATCACTTTCTCCCGCCCTTTTATTTTTTCCGACTTTCACTTTTCTTGGCCGAATACTCCCTTACCCCTTCTCCTCCTCTCTCTTCTTTTTTCATCTTGTTTGGCCAAAAAAGGGGAAAAATGAGGCTTTTTAGGGGAAGGCTTGTAGCAGCCGTTGATACATTTGGTCCACTCTAAATGCCCCACTGTGACCACCCCAAGCAGCTGCTCCACCTCCATCTCTCGTTGCCCCAACTCCTTGGGGTTATTATCAAATTGAATAGAAATAAATGCGACTTCATGTGAGTTTAAATTTTCGTGCCAAGACTCAGGGGAGGGCGGGCTAATGTGAGTATTACCAAGAACTTGTTGCTGCTGGGCTCTAACGAGCCACGAATCTGTCTGGGGACCCAGAGGTCCTGGGGTATGAGCCACAGAACAGAAAGCCGGAATGTATCTGCCACATGTAATCATTTAAAATCATTTAAAGCTACTTTGGATAGTTTTAGATAAAGATTCTGAAACTGAAGGTTACATTTTTTTAGTTTCTTAATACACCTTTATGGAAGAATGGTAACAAAGTGAAATTTAACGAACATAAGTATATTCACTAAAATAAGCTAAATGAAACCTAAACCACAGAAGCTCTTATACTTCTAAACCCATTGCATAGCCATTGCAAAGCCGTAGATCTCAATCTATCTCCTAACCCCTCTTAAGAAGAAACAATGATTCTTATCCTTCCATCCATCGAAGGCCTTCCCTAGGTGTGCTGAGTGTGCTGAGATTAATAAGCTTTTTCAGTTGTAATTAAGGCAATCCTAAGAGCTACTGGTATTTCGTAAGATCTGGAGTGTCCTTGGACATGTCACTGGAGACGGGAGTACCGGGACGGGAAGTTGCGACTCCCATGCCTTGTCGGACTCTACAAAATGTAGTTAATATTCGAAGAAATAATTTTCTGTTTGCGTCCGAACTGAATGAAGTTCATTCAATGAACTATAGAACAACCGAAAGGTATTGCTTCAATTAGACAATTCTTATCAAGTCTTCTTTTAGTTTGGAGGAAATATTGGTAAAAGTAATCAATTTAGTGAATAATAATACCCGCATATTATGAGGGTTCGTCACCGGTATTTTACCTCGTCAAGAGGTTTTTTTATTGGATCTGATTAACCGAAGCCTTGTAGCGCCTAAAAGTTCGACGCCGGTTTCTTTAAGTATACCATGGAAGCTGAGTGGTTCTGAGCACCACTAGCTCCCCCTTGAGGCTCAACTTAGGAATAGGACGTTTTAGAACAATACTCAAAGGGTCAAAATTCCTACCGCTAGTTTATCTTTTTTTCTTAAAAATTTCTTCTAAGATTCCCTGGCCCCGATTGAGATCGATCCCTGTCAGATAATTTTGATAAAACCTAACCTTTCTTCAACCTGGAACACATAAAGACTCTTGATCGAAACCAAAGTTGAAGTTTCATCTGTGCCTACATTTAATATTTTCCAAATATTTATAGGTTTTTGTATACGCCATTGTACATCTATAATCAAGAAGTATTTCAAAGATTTTTCACAAAAGTGAGTTTCTGGCAAATCGAGAATATATTTAATATCGACCCTATGACGCTATACATCCCCATATAACTAAAAACTAAAAGCAGACCTATTTATGCAATGGGTCGCTTTTCTATCGCCGACATTCGGCCAGTGATTGCATTTATGCATATATCCAAAAATTGAAAACACGAGGGGCTATGTTATTTAGGTTGGGGCTGTATTTATAGACAGCTGGTTCTAGGTGCGTTATGAAATTTGAACCTTGATGAAATTTCCAAAAATTAACAGGTACTACTAGAATTTCGAGGTCGGCGGGGAACCCAACAACAGCGCCAAACGAAACCGAAATACGGGCACGTCAATTACGTCGACTTCTGGGGGTATCCTGCGAGGGAGCCTTAGGATCAAAGTCCGGTGCCATGATCTGGGCCATGTGGCTGCATCTCGGTCTGAAATGGATAACGTCTTCCCGGCTGATTTTGTGGCACGGCACTGGAGGTTTCTGATCCTTCACACATTTGATTGCGATTTTGAATTGGAGTTTGACTTGATTCAGTTGTTGGGTTTGATCCAGAGCCTTTGGTGCAGGTGTTATTGCTTGTGTTGGTATTGGTGTTGATCGGGTTGCTGATGGATTTGTTGGAATTAATGTTGGTGTTGGTTTTATTGTTTTGAGTAGTTTTGGAATCGTTGTTCGGGAACTGCGAGTTTTTGACAAAGTTGTTGGTGGTTTTCGGTGGTGGTGGGCTAACATTCTTATTAGCGTTGGAATTTTTGTTGCGGTCGTCCAAAATTTGGATGTTAAACGTGTCCGGAGGATTAGCCACACGACCACGACACGGCATGCTGGCAATGGGTCCGGCACAGGCAACTGAAACACCTGATCCGCAAGCACCTTCGTTTTTCTGACCCTGCGAGTCCAGGTCGTCAAAGAATCCGTCGTAGACCACGAATCTATTGCCCTGCGTAATGGTACGCACCAGACCGAAATGCTTTCCCAGGAAACCTATCATCTTCGGGGAGGGACGATCCACAGAGACCTTGCAGGGCGACCAGCCTTGATCGGCGAGCATCTTGTCGAAGATACGCTTGCCAAGCCCGCGACGTTGACGAGACTCGTGAATGTAAAAGTCCAGGATGGCCGGGGTCTGGTTCGCCCGACGGCACGCGCCCTTCTCGTCGAACAGGTAGAGGTTTTTGGTGCCAACCTTGAGCAACCCGGTCACCGCCCAGCGTCCCGACTTGTCGTCTGCCATCAGATAGGTCACCTGGGTGTTGGTGTTGGCGAGCATTTTCTCCGCCGTGGTCACTGGAATCCTAAGGCCCTGGGCCACCGCCGACAGCTGCCCCATCTCATCAATTATCCGGTTCAGCTTGCATGCCGGTGTAGGTGGTTCGGCCCCCTGCCGATTTTGGCGTTTCAACAAGGCAGTTGGTGTTTGTGGGCGCAATAGGTCGGGCTGGACACGAATGATCTCCTGCGGGAACAGGTCCTTGATGTCAAACTCAAACTCCACCATTTTTGATATTTAGGTTTTTTGAGATGTTGGTGGCTCAGCCGGCTCATAACTTGTGATCCTTTCGGGGCATATGCCCCAAGGTACGGTTTGACAGATTTCTCTCTGGTGTTTTACTCTATTTGGGAAAACCAAATCTTTCTTCCAAATTCAATATTTCTATTGTCTTTGAGAAACCTTGCAGAGGGCGTTATAATCTTGATCAAATGTGTGAGATCTCCAAAAGTGTGAGGAGAGAGATAAAGTATACATATTCTTGATTAGGATCACCCCCTGAGTTGATACAAGCATAAGTAAATTGATCCGAACTACCAAATTTCATATGGATTTCATATGGAAATTTCATATATACCAACTTTGGAATTCGGGAGATAGAAGCTTGGGACTGTTTTTTAGATTTTGTATTGTAATAAATTGGTTATATTATGATATTCTCATAAGGATCTACCAACTATATCGGATGTTTGCCATATATGTATATCCGGTTTTAACTGCAAGGGTTTATCAACTTCCGCTTCGGCCGAAGTTAACTTTCCTTTCTTGTTATACCCTTGCAGAGGGTATTATAATTTTGTCCAAAAGTGTGCAACGCAGTGAAGGAGACATCTCCGACCCTATAAAGTATATATATTCTTGATCAGGATCACCTCCTGAGTTGATATGAGCATGTCCGTCTGTCCGTCTGTCCGTCTGTCTGTCTGTCTGTCTGTCCGTTTCTACGCGAACTAGTCTCTCAGTTTTAAAGCTATCGACTTGAAACTTTGCACACACCTTTCTTTCCTTTGCACGCAGTATATAAGTCGGAACGACCGGGATCGGCCGACTATATCCTATAGCTGCCATATAACTGATTGATCGGAAATGGTATAACTTTGGTGTTTTTAGAGTTAGAGAGTTCAAATTTGACACGAGAGCTATTTTTAGCAAAACATTACGACATGCCAAATTTCATAAGGATCGGACGACTATATCCTATAGCTGCCATATAACTGAACGATCGGAAATGACCCAACTTTCGTGCTTTTGAAGATAGAATGCTGGAATTTAATACAGATTCTATTTTTGGTCAGTTGATCCAACCTACCAAATTTCATAAGGATCGGCCGACTATATCCTATAGCTGCCATATAACTGAACGATCGGAAATGACCCAACTTTTGTGTTTTTGAAGATAGAAAGCTGGAACTTGGTACAGATTCTATTTTTGGTCAGTTCATCCAACCTACCAAATTTCATAAGGATCGGCCAACTAAATCCGATGGTTGCGATATATATCCGGTTTTAACTGCAAGGGTATATCAACTTCGGCTTCGCCCGAAGTTAGCTTTCCTTTCTTGTTATACCCTTGCAGAGGGTATTATAATTTTGTCCAAAAGTGTGCAACGCAGTGAAGGAGACATCTCCGACCCTATAAAGTATATATATTCTTGATCAGGATCACCTCCTGAGTTGATATGAGCATGTCCGTCTGTCCGTCTGTCCGTCTGTCCGTCTGTCTGTCCGTCTGTCTGTCCGTCTGTCTGTCCGTCTGTCTGTTTCTACGCGAACTAGTCTCTCAGTTTTGGTTCGGAACGGCCCGGATCGGCCGACTATATCCTATAGCTGCCATATAACTGATTGATCGGAAATGGTATAACTTTGGTGTTTTTAGAGTTAGAGGGCTAAAAATTGACATGAGAGCTATTTTTGGCAAAATAATATGACATGCCAAATTTCATATGGATCGGCCGACTATATCTTATAGCTGCCATATAACTGAACGATCGGAAATGACCCAACTTTCGTGTTTTTGAAGATAGAAAGCTAGAACTTGGTACACATTCTATTTTTGGTCAGTTAATCCGACCTACAAAATTTCATTAGGATCGGCCGACTATATCCTATAGCTGCCATATAACTGAACGATCGGAAATGGTATTTGGTAGAAATATCAATTTTGTATTTTTGAAGATAGAAGCTTGGGACTTTTTTTCGATTTTTTATTGTAATTGATTGGTTTTATTATGATGTAATCATAAGGATTGGCCAACTATATCCGATGTTTGCAATATATATCCGGTTTTAGCTGCAAGGGTATATCAACTTCGGCTCCGCCCGAAGTTAGCTTTGCTTTCTTGTTTTTGGTGATTTTGAAAAATAACTGAAATAACCCCTTTGCCGAAAATCATTATGAGAATTATGAGAATCAGCCATTTTTTTTCATTAACTGAAGTAAGTTGCCACTACATTATAAAAAATAAAAAATAATTTCTGGCAATATATATCTGCAATATCCAGCAAAGCATTTGATTCAATCACTCACTCTTGTTGAGTAAACTGAATAATAACCAATCGTAGGACAATGAAGGGCGTAGTTTTACTACATAACCTTATCAATGGCGCTGTAGATCCACCAGCATTTACTAATACGCTTAAATTTTAACATTTCCAATAGAAGGACTAGAAACTTTAGTCCTCTATTCTCTAGCCATTGTAGCTCGACATATGCACACACGACCCTGTAAGGGTCTTATGTTCGAACTACAATGGTATGTACTCTATAACATCTGTTTCCTGTCCTTCATAATAAAAATCTAGTATTTTAAAATCCTTACTAACTCCTCTTAGCTTTATAAATAATAAATAGATTAATATATACTAATAAATCGTTTCTCGAGCGTCCCTCGGTCGTCTGGGCCTCTATGATGAATGCAGGAATGCTAGCTGATGCTCTAATTGATGCACAAGCCATTTCTGGGCTTCCTAAAGTGAAGTACTATAAATAAATTATATATTTATCTTTTAGATATATAAATGCTTTTCTTCGATCAGCAAAGGCCTCTATTGCATCATTTCGCGTTTCTTTTGTTTGAATCTGCAAACAGTTATTCTAACAACAATATTCTCTCACTATTTTCGCAAGTCGTTATGCGTCAGCGACCCTTAGTCAATTAGACAAATTATAAAATGGACGTAGCATATCCATAGCTTTAAGCACAAGCTGGGGTAAAAAAAATATATTGGGGTATAGCTCTACCTACATAACATAAATAAGAAAAATAAAAACATTTTTGTTTTTATATTAGCTCTTTAAAAGCTTTTGCTCTTTTATTACTTATATGCATTCTACAATTTTTAAGTATTCCATGTTTCCATGTTTTTCGAAAGCCATCAGTTGGTTCGTCCCTTTAAGATTGGATGCAGCTTGTGTTCTCGGGAAGATCGCACATGCCCTTGGCTCCATTGAAGTACTTATCACCGCAGCTCACCTTCAGAGCGCGTTGGTGCCGACAGATGTAGTATTCACTGCAGCTTTTTGGCGACGCCATCAGGAATCCGTCGGGCTTGCCGGAGCAGGATACTTCCAGTCCAGTTCCAGATCCAGTGGACGTGAGTCCCGCCAAATGAGCCACTTCCCACAGAAGCTTGCTCAGGGGATTTCTGCGGACGGGGTTACGGTTCGCCTGGGTAGCTGCCATTGCCTTTGACTTGGACTTCGACTTCGAGGCCGCGGTCGACTCGCAAGTCGTTGTTGGTTCAGAGTCGGGGCAGGCTGTTGTTGTAGTTACTTTTGACGAACAAGTAGTGGTCGTTGTGGAGGCGTCGTCTTCTGGAGAACAAGCCGTGGTCGTAGTCGTTGTTTTTGGAGAGCAGGTGGTTGTCGTAGTTGTCTCCTTAGGAGCGCAAGTTGTCGTGGTTGTTGTCGTGGTGGTCGTTGTGGTGGAAGTCGTTGTAGGGGCACAAGGTGTTGTAGTTGTTGTAGTGGTTGTTGTCGTTGTTGTGGAAGTCGTTGTCGGAGCACAAGGTGTTGTAGTGGTTGTTGTAGTAGTTGTTGTTGTGGTTGTCGTTGTAGTGGAAGTCGTTGTAGGGGCACAAGGTGTTGTAGTTGTGGTGGTGGTTGTTGTAGTAGTTGTTGTGGTGGTCGTGGTAGTGGTTGTCGTTGTCGTTGTGGTGGAAGTCGTTGTAGGGGCACAAGGTGTTGTAGTTGTTGTAGTGGTTGTTGTCGTTGTTGTGGAAGTCGTTGTCGGAGCACAAGGTGTTGTCGTGGTGGTTGTAGTAGTGGTTGTTGTGGTAGTTGTTGTAGTGGTTGTCGTTGTGGTGGAAGTCGTTGTAGGGGCACAAGGTGTTGTAGTTGTGGTAGTGGTTGTTGTCGTGGTTGTCGTAGTAGTTGTTGTGGTGGTCGTGGTGGTGGTTGTCGTTGTGGTAGAAGTTGTTGTAGGCGCGCAAGGTGTTGTAGTTGTCGTAGTGGTCGTTGTCGTGGTTGTTGTGGTAGTTGTTGTTGTGGTTGTCGTTGTGGTGGAAGTCGTTGTAGGGGCACAAGGTGTTGTAGTTGTGGTAGTGGTTGTTGTAGTAGTTGTTGTGGTGGTCGTGGTAGTGGTTGTCGTTGTGGTGGAAGTCGTTGTAGGGGCACAAGGTGTTGTAGTTGTGGTAGTCGTTGTTGTCGTGGTTGTTGTAGTAGTTGTTGTGGTGGTCGTGGTAGTGGTTGTCGTTGTGGTGGATGTCGTTGTAGGGGCACAAGGTGTTGTAGTTGTGGTAGTCGTTGTTGTCGTGGTTGTTGTAGTAGTTGTTGTGGTGGTCGTGGTAGTGGTTGTCGTTGTGGTGGAAGTCGTTGTAGGGGCACAAGGTGTTGTAGTTGTGGTAGTGGTTGTTGTTGTGGTTGTTGTAGTAGTTGTTGTGGTGGTCGTGGTTGTAGTAGTTGTTGTAGTAGTAGTTGTTGTGGTAGTTGTTGTAGAGGTTGTCGTTGTGGTGGAAGTCGTTGTAGGGGCACACGGTGTTGTAGTTGTGGTAGTGGTTGTTGTAGTTGTGGTAGTGGTTGTTGTCGTGGTTGTTGTCGTGGTTGTTGTAGTAGTTGTTGTGGTGGTCGTGGTAGTGGTTGTCGTTGTAGTGGAAGTCGTTGTAGGGGCACAAGGTGTTGTAGTTGTCGTTGTGGTTGTTGTCGTGGTTGTTGTGGTCGTTGTTGTAGTAGTGGTTGTTGTGGTAGTTGTTGTAGTGGTTGTCGTTGTGGTGGAAGTCGTTGTAGGGGCACACGGTGTTGTAGTTGTGGTAGTGGTTGTTGTAGTTGTGGTAGTGGTTGTTGTAGTTGTGGTAGTGGTTGTTGTCGTGGTTGTTGTAGTAGTTGTTGTGGTGGTCGTGGTAGTGGTTGTCGTTGTAGTGGAAGTCGTTGTAGGGGCACAAGGCGTTGTAGTTGTCGTTGTGGTTGTTGTCGTGGTTGTTGTGGTCGTTGTTGTAGTTGTGGTTGTTGTAGTAGTTGTTGTAGTGGTTGTCGTTGTGGTGGAAGTCGTTGTAGGGGCACAAGGTGTTGTAGTTGTGGTAGTGGTTGTTGTCGTGGTTGTCGTAGTAGTTGTTGTTGTGGTCGTTGTTGTCGTGGTTGTCGTTGTGGTGGAAGTCGTTGTAGGGGCACAAGGTGTTGTAGTTGTCGTTGTGGTTGTTGTCGTGGTTGTTGTGGTCGTTGTTGTAGTAGTGGTTGTTGTGGTAGTGGTTGTAGTGGTTGTCGTTGTGGTGGAAGTCGTTGTGGGGGCACAAGGTGTTGTAGTTGTCGTAGTGGTTGTTGTAGTGGTTGTTGTAGTAGTGGTTGTTGTGGTAGTGGTTGTCGTTGTCGTTGTGGTAGAAGTCGTTGTAGGGGCACAAGGTGTTGTTGTTGTTGTCGTAGTGACCTTATCACAGGGTGGTGTCGTCGTTGTGATCTTGGAGCAGGGTGGGGGGGTCGGGGTAGAGTCCTTGCATGGCGTAGCCGTATCTCGGACTACTTTTTTTGCCTCTGGCTGCGCCGCTGCCACTACTGCACCCTCCGTGCAACCGGGATTGTAGGAAACACAGCTTCGGGTCTTGAAGTCATAGTACTTGGGGCAAGCGTATTCCGTGGCAATTCCATTATGGCATTCGTAAAATCTGGAGCAGCTTCCGGGGACCAGGGCCCGGATTCCGTTCGCCTTATTGCGACAGATCAGATGTCCAGGCTGACTTGAAACGCTGGCACCGAAGGCGGTGCTTGCAGCAACTGCGACGAGCAGCAGGGCAAAAGCTGTGAACGAGACTCATTAGTTTTATTCACGCTTTCACTTCAAAACATATTAAGTTATGCACAAAAAAAAAAGTGGTTCTTAAAGAATCGTTTTGCACAGGCGTATTACCGTAAACGTTCCTCATGTCTGCCGATGATGAAGTTCTCAATTCTCAGACTCAGAGGATACTGTGATAACTGCAGTTCTTGGTTCCTCTATTTATACCTCGCCAATTTGCCAAAAAGAATCATTAATAAATTGCAAACATATTTGCAAAATGAGACGAAATGTGTAACACGATGTCGATTTCTTCCTTATCAGAATTTCCTCCTAATCAAAATCATAGACTCTATTGTACCACTCTTCAACCTGCACCTTTTCATACAAAATTATTTTTTTACATTTTACTGACTTATAGAACTTATTGCAAACGGAAATCGAGTAAACCTTATCTAAATTAATTGAAGAAATGCGTATAAAACAATCGCTATTAGCCAAAATATAAGAGGTCGAATATTTTAAAGCAAAAACAATCAAATGAAATAAAATCATTTGGCATTTAAAATGCAACTGATAGTATATCTTATCACATTTCTGTGGAAATTCAGCCTCTATGTCCAAATGTTTTAATAGAACTTTAGATAATAAAGTCTGATGATACTACCTGCTGCGACTAGAAACACCCAAATTTGACCTTCCGTTTCATGTAGTACAAGCATAAGTTATTTTTACCTCCTGAAACGTGTCTACAGATCCCAGACAGCTACACATGTATGCGCTTGCTTGCACTGATTTTAACTTTTAAGTTTTTAAGAGCTTAGACCATCCAGAAACTTTTGAAGTTTGAATTTTACCCTATAAAGTTAAGATCTGGATAGGTTAAGACAAGTACCCTAAGGATAAGAAGAAATACTGAAAAGAACAATATTTTCAAAGGTGTTAGTATATTTTACTATATTTCGGTACACCTTTAACGAGTTAGATCACCTACCCACTTACTCGTGTGACATGCAATGCGGTATGTTTCTATAAACTTTAAACACGTTTTTCTCGAAACCTTTTTTTTAGCTTGTGCCAATGATATCTCCAGTTTTTTAGATGCGATTACAAAAATATTATAGCATATATACATTGAATAAAAAAAAATGGGAAGTACATATTCTTTTGTATTCCTGCTACCAAAAATAACCAATAAGTAAGTAAGCGAGCTAAAAGTAAAAAAAGTTCCCTAAATTTAACTTTTTGACTTTGATGCCTATATGTACATTTTTTTTTTCAAATTTATCTATTCTAATAGACTGTTTACATTTTTTGTCAGTTGACTAGGAAAGGCCTAGGAAAGGAAAGGACAAGATCTAGGAATGGACAAGATCAGGCATTTTGGATCCGTAATTTTGATTTAAAAAAAAAAAAAAAATGTTTTTATAGTCACTAATAAAATACCACTAACTGGTCAAAAGCAGAATCCCGTATTCTTTTTCAGATTCCCACAATAAATTGTAAAATATTGGTCGTTTTTGACCGAAATGATCGAGAAAATTGTAGAACAGTGAAGCAGAAATCTCTGACCTTTGTGTCGATATAAGCAGTTAGTCGTTGTTTCTTTTAAAACTATCGACTTCAAATTTTGGACGTATACTTCTCTTTTACCAGAACATACATATGAATGTACATAAGTCGGCAGGGATCGGTCTATAGCTGTCATTTAACTAAAGAGCGGAAATGTCAAACCTTCAGTGTTTTTAGAAATTTAAGATTGGGTCTTTGCTGTGTTTAAGATTAGGGCTGCGCTTAGCGTCGGAAGTTCCGATCGAGACTACATATATCGCAACCCAAGAGAAGCGATCGGAAATAAAGCGATTGCTTCAGAAGCCTCAGGGTGAAAACCCTGTGGAATTAGCTTTTTCTTTTAGAATTCCGATGGTTACTGGAAGTACAGATTTTGTGTAGAACCAGGTTCAGTGCGAACAGTCGTGAGCTATGAAAAGGACGCAAAGAAAGAAAACTTGACGAGGAGAATATGATGGGCGGAAGGCCAAAAAGTGTGTCCCGGGTTGAGTAGTGAGGGGTCATCTAGAGAGTCAAAAAACAGACATTTTTGGGACGTTCGAAGGATAATTGTCGAGCCTTCTCTATCCATTACAACACGAGATTTTTGACGGGAAAAGAGATGTTTTTACCGGGTCGACGTGTTAGCCGACATATTGATATATGTACATATTTAAATATATTAATATATTTTGAAATATGTCCTATATCTGCCATATATGTAACTGAACGACCATAAGTACCACAACTTAATGCTTGTTCAGATAAAAGTTTTTCTTTTTCAGAAAATTTTTTTTAAATTAATATTTCTTGAAATTCTTTTACCAATATTCCCATACGAATCGAACAAATAAAACAGATGCGGTATATGTAGATTTCCTTTTATTTTAGGAAAGTGAAGCCATATAGTAAACGGAATAATTTTTAATTATTGTTCATTTTGAAAAAAAAAGAAGTAGGGTGGTAGGTAAGAATGACTTTTTAACACTCTATTGGATTGTGGGTAAGCTAGTGGTTTGAATAATAATCCTCTCTTTCAAATATTCCTAAAGATATTTCTACAGAATAACTAATTGGCTAATTGGCTGAATATCAAACACTATTTCAAATAGTGTCAGCTACACAGAATGACCCCATTTATGAAAGAATTCCACAATTTATTCGGTAGCCTGATTCGGTAGAATAGTCCAGCCTGAAATTAAAGCAAAAATCTGCAGAAAAGCACAAAATATCGAGTTAAATAGGGGGAGGAAAAATCGGACATTTAAAAATATCTGTTACTATGTAAAAAGGGGTAGATCACAAAGTTATCTAGTTGCTCAACCCCCTAAAGAAATGAAGGCTCCAACCCTAATACACCCAAACCCCCCTAAGAAATATGGAAAGGAAAAATGTAAAAAATTACACTAATTTAATTTCTCTGTGAGAGAGCCATACCCCCACCAACCTTTAAAAACACATACCCCCGCCCCTAGAGAGGCCAACCCTTGGTTATTAAAATTTTTCCTTTTTAAAAATAAATGAAAACTAAATAGAAACGGAAGGAGCGGGGTGGGGTGGTGTTGGTGCGGTTCTAGATTTGATTTTACCCCATTTCACTCTTCACCGTTTTTTATCCCCCTGCCCCCTGGCTTGTCGCTTGTCCGTTTTTTTGGCAAAAAAACTTTTTAACCCTTTTGTTTAATTAAAAAACACAGAAAACGAATGGCTAAAAATCGGTGGAAATTTTCGAGGAGAAGTGGGAAAGCCTGCAAGAAAGCCAAGGCAAAAGAAGAAGACGCGAAAGGACGCAGGACATCTGGCGTTGAATTTTAAAATGTTTTTCAATACAAAGACAGCGAAAAAATAAAGAAAATAAAACCAAAACGGGGCAAAAAAAATTAAAAGCAAAGTACATAAATTTCCACAGCCGTTGTCCCAAAAAAAAAGAGAAAAAAGGGGTAAGTGGTGTAATGGGTGGTGGGGGGAGGGGGTTGTACAAGGGGTGGGTAAGGGGCCTCTGGAAAAGGGGGTTGTGTGCTGGGAAAACCAAAGAAAAAGTATAGTAATTATTTTGCATTTGCGTAGATAAAATTAACGATGATGGCCAAAGCGCAGAAAATGAAGAAAAGAAAGCAAACGGCAAAAAAGGGGAAGAAATGCGAGAAAAATCGGTATGGTCAGAGGCGTTGGAGAGAGTGAGATGCAGTGCAGGGCCTAAGAGTGTCTTAAAAGAGTTGGAGTGTCAGACAAAGACAAAGAGACAGAGGCGGACAGTGACAATGGGTCGACTCCCACTCCACTCCCACTCCCACTCGCCACTAACCCCATCATTATGCCAATTCAGCTGTCAAAACTTTGTGCGTATTTTAATTTTTCTTCGCGTTTCTTTTCCTTCTATTTCCACTTTTTTGGGTTTTCGTATTTTTTGAATTTGTCGCGCTTTATGGCCCGTAAGACCTTCTAGGGTTTGGGGGGCACTGGGGGTGGGGAGGGGGGGGTTAGGGGGGCCGGTACTGCCCTTAAGTGCGTCGGCTTGATTTTTGTTGCTGTGATTTCGCCGCCTTGCCCATCATTTGAATATGCATGGGTGTGGGTGTGTCAAAGGGTGCAGGAAGGGCTGGGGGTTGCCAGGCGCAGGGCTTTGATGGATGACACGTGCGTAGGCGGACAGGGGGTACTCGCAGGGATTAGGGTCTTGGAAAAATGATACGATAACTGATTAATATCTTCACTCGAAAAAAGTGTCATTAATGCTACAACTTTACATTTTTTTTCTAATTTTTTTGAAAAATTATTATGATGTAAATTATTATAGCTTTTAATATAGATTAATACATTTTGTTATTACATATATTTATACATCAAAATTTTTTAATGTTTTAAAGAAGTAATTATATACATATTTATACTAATTTATAGTAAAATATTTCAACTGAATGGAAAGTTCTTCGCAAACTAGTCTTAGTTTTAAAGCTATCGACTTGAAACTTTGCATGCAGTATAAAAGTCGGAACGGCCAGGATCGACAGACTATATCCTACAGCTGCCTGAACTGAACGATCGGAAATGGTATTTGGTTTTTGGTAAAAACACCAACTTTAGTATATCTGCAGATAGAGAACCTTCTGTTTGGGACAGATTATAATTATATATTCTAATAAATTGGTTTTCTAATAAAATTATATATTATAAAATAAATTATAAAGAGATATATCCGATCATAACTGCAGGTATATCAACATCGGTATCAAGTTAGCTTTCCTTTCTGGTTTTAACTAAGTTACTTTACATTGTAAAGTTAACAATTACTACATATTTTCTTTAAAAGCACATTACAATTAGGTTCCCCCAAATGATCTTAATATTTAGTAGGAAAAATAAATTTGGAATAATTCATTATCCCCCGCAAGTGACGCTGCTGAATTGGCAAAAGGAAAAAAAACTCATTTCCCTCCTTATCCTTTAGTCATTTTCCGTTCCTTACGCACTTTTCCCATTTTATTTTGCTTTTTTATTTATTCTTTTTTTTGCATACACAAAAAGCTGGGCTGAAAAAAAAAATAAAAAAGGGGTTGATTATGGTCACTAGCAAATTGGTAGTACGCACCCCCGGCCCCCACTGACAGGTCCAGTTCTGGACCAACCGACGTCGACAA